GTTCGCTAAAATTGGAGCCAGCAAAACTCGAGCTTGATTCAAGTGGGGTACATTACACCCTTTGTAATAATCAACTTTCGAAATAAAAAGAATAAGTTGGTGAAAGGAAAAGATCCGCAGGGTTGTAATTAAATCAAGGCTACGACCAAAAAGAAAAAAAAAAAAGTTAAAAAAGGAAGAGGGACCATTAATTTTAGGGTCGTAACCCACGTGAAAACCCACCCACTGTCTTTACAAAAAGCTGCACATTTTATATATGTACCACAAAGTACGATTGATTTAGTAATTAATTATACTTAGTTCACCATCATAATGAATGCAAGTATCGAACAGTCGTTATCTGCATAAATTCATTTGGTACTATTATAAACCCTATATGAACATAGCTAGCTAAGTATATACATGCATAAGATTATGTGTAGAAAATACCCTTTCTTACATTTTAATGGTTTTGATTAGTTTTATATAATTATTTTCAATATTTGCAATATATTAATAATTATTGTATAGAAATGTAAAATATTTGCAATATATTATATGCTATTTTAATTTAAATTAATAATATTATTTATTTATCTTTATATTTTACATTTTTAGATAAGTTTTTGAAAATATTTATAATGATTTACTCTATCGGTCTTTTAATTGTAACTCGATTTAGTGATTTATAAAATCTAGTATTTAGTTGGATTTTTACATTTTTTAATGTTGATTTTTTTTTTTGTGTAATCACATATTTTTAAATTTGTTTATTTTCTTCTTAAAAAATGTTGATTTGATAAGCTCTCTCATTAACAAAAATTCTATGCCACGTGCTGCCGAAGATTTTTTTTTTCTTCTTAAAAAACATTAATTTGATAAACAATGTACTGCAAAAGTTTTTTGTTTATTTTCTTAAATTAATACACACGAAGTCTTACTTTTTTTGTTTAATTTTTAAAAGATTGAGAGTGATAAGGATTTTTTAAGTTTTTAAAAACTTGATGTACACGTATCGATATATATCTTTATAGTAAATACATTTTTATATAAAATGAACGTTTCGACTTAAACTATAAACTCGTTATAACATTTAAAATTGGTCCCCTGAATGAAATTCCTAGATCCGCCACTGATTGTGACTAGCTTGCATCCCTCGAACACATATTTGATATATATTTTGGAATTAAGAGAAATAATCATTTTGAATATGAAGAATATTATCCCCCTGGAAGTTATTGCATAATTTAACATCAAAGTATTTTTCTCTCTTTTTTTTTCCCATATCTTTTTGGTATTATAATTGTCCAACAATATTGTTAGGACATTTAAATATATCTCATACTTTCTTCAAAGGCCCCTTTTTCCGTGGCAACACGACCGACTTTATAATTTGCAATACTTTAAAACTAAGAATTTTAGTGAATTTATAATATATCACCAAATTCATTTAATTGACTCTTTGTATATTACGAAACAAGGGCATGTCTCCACGTGGCTGGAATTTTGACGTGCCACAGATAGTGTTAAATAACAATTAAATAAACGCACTTAAAATGCAACCAATGATCAACATTGAAGATTAAACGGAATCAAGTGCAAAAAACAATAATCAAAATAGGTTTACATATATATGTTGATTGTATGTTTGATTTGACAAGAGATTCTTGGTTGGCTTCAAAGTGGTAATTATTATTTCATATATTAGTGTCATTTTGTATTTACTTTTAGTTGGCCGGTCTTTTTTAGTTATTATTAACTTATTTAAGCATAAAGTGTTGATAAAGCATCAAGCACTTGATGTACTTATTTAGTGTACGTTGATTAACCGAAATCTTGGTGAAGAAGTAGTAACTACTCCCTCCATTTTGAAATATAAGACATTTTGAAATATAAGACATTTAAAGTTATTGCACAAATATTAAGGAGACATTAATTAATGAATAAATTAACTAAATTAATCTTATTTACTCTAATCACAACCACTCTACACTTCTTTAATTTCAACACAATGAGGGTATATTTAGAAAAAAATACAAAAATTTGTCTTGATTTTTTAGCGCGCCTTATATTTCAAAAAAATTGAGAAATCTTTATACGTCTTATATTTCAAAATGGAGGGAGTATATTTTATGTCACCAATTACATAAATAATATGGCCCCAAAATGTTACATAGTATATAGCACGCCACGGTTAATTAAAACTTGCACCTAACTATATAGAATAATTAATACATGAAATGCAAAACATACTCAACATATAGTTACTAACTTACGATAGAGTTGTAAATGATCAGTTGAGCTCGTGCTCTTAATACTCGAAGTTAGACGCAAGCCTGTATTATTGACCTGACTGTTAATTAAATGAGTCGACGAACTCGAACTCAACTGGTTTATCATTAATATTATCAAGTCGAAGTCTAACGAGCTGAAATTGGTTTGGCTATAGGCTATTAATTAAGAGAACTTAGCTCAATTCGTGTATAAAATGAATAGAGTCAGACTAAAACCTTAACGAGCCGAGTTAACTATAATTTACAAATGACTCAATTCGTTTAATAGCTATAAGTTACCATGAAAATTATTGCAAATGAAATTTGTGACATGAAATAGGAAACTGCTATATTCATTGTGTATATAAGAGAATATAAACTTGTTCCCCTAGATAGTCTTCGTGTGGCAACTTTTTTTAAACTTGCGACATTNAGAAATCTTGCTCCCCGCAAACTAGTTATATCCATTCTTGTTTTTTGGCTCCCATATCCCTAATAGATGAAGATAATTGAAATTCTCTATACGGTAAAACAAGGAATAATTTAAATGAAAAGCATAATATTTTTACTAATCAGGAGACATAAAGCATAAAAAAAATAATAAATAAAAATGAAATGGAGAGCAAGTTCGCATAACATGGGCACCTCATTGGTTTGGGTGCATGTGAAAAAAGAAAATTAAGCAATTGCATGCTGACTAGATCTTGATCGACAAATGGCAAAATCTATGTCAGTAGTTTTTCTAATTGAAAAAAAAAAAAATGGTCTCTAGTTAATTATAATTTAGCACAATGTATAATATATACAATTTAAGATAAACAGCGTTCACATTAACATGACCGGGGCTCCATAGCATTTCCGTTTAACATGAGATATAAAAGTCAATCATCTTAATTTGCCAGTCAATTGTAAGATATATTAATGTACCATATGGCACAAATTGGGGGAAAACGGGTGCGTCATCGCACGGTAAAACTGGCTCTGATACCATATAAGAAATTGGAAGAAAACGGGTGCGGACCCACTAACATGAAGCGCATCATGAACGAAGAAGGAAGGGTAACTTATTAGTCTTATAAAGTGAGTCTATTTTCCATGTATGAACGATGTGAGAAAGTCACAAGTGATATTCTAACACCATACTTTATGAAAGAAATTACAATAAACTAATTCATATCATATTTTGATAAATATAATGTTTACGTAAAAATCAATATATATTTTGTTAGTAATTTGTGTCCTTAGGACCTTCATGTTTGTTTATAATTTTTTTTATTGTTTTTTGGTTTGGTTTGATTAATTTTGAAAAAGATGGTATGATTAGTTGTTAGTGGATATATTAAAATAATATTTATAATAAAATAATTAAAATTAATTTGATGTAAAAGTATGAGAGAGAAATTTGAAGTGATGGTTAGAGCATTTTTAGCGGTAGTGTTTTGTGAGGTTTACAAACCTCCTTTTCAAGGTTTTACCACAATAAGGCACAACGTGGAGGTTTGTAAATTCAACACCGCTTTGACAGTATAAGCCTTATGTAAACCTCATTTAAATAATAAAATAATAACAAACAATGGGTAAGTGGGAGAAAATTGGGTCCCACATTTTACATCTTACTTTTTACTTTGTTTTTATTTTTTATTTTTGGTTTTTTCCTTGAACTTGCATGTAATTATCATTAATTTTTCAATTGTAAAAACAAAAACTTAAAGTCTTAAATTTCATATTATTTTCATTTTTCAATAGTAATCGGAACCTTAAAAATCTTAAACTCCACATGATTTAAAACAAGTACTTAAATTTCAAAAACTCATAAATATAATTTTTTTCCTATTTAGTATTTAAATTTCAAAAACTTACATGAAAGATAATCGTATATACATAATTATATGAAACATAATTTAAATATATTATATATTTTTTTAAGATTAATATTTAGAAAAAAAAATTGTACTCAAAATTTAATCGTATATACATAATTTAGTGTTTTTAGTAAATATAAATTAAATTGATATATAGATTAAAGTAAGTGGAAAACATGGGGCCCCACTAAAAGAAGATTTGTGAAGTTTATGGTTATTGGAAGTTTGTGATATTGACAGTGAGAATGAAGTTTAGATGATGTGGAGTATTGGGAATGTAAAAAGTAAAGTTTATAAACCTTACCTATTAAAGATGCTCTTAGTTAAAATAATGTGAGTGAATGGATAGTGAATTAAGGTTAATGTGATGTGTATGAATGATTGATTGATATTATTTAATTATATTGATAATTTTGATGATAGAGAGGTTGAATTAAAGTTAAGTTAAAACAGTTAAAAAGTAGAATTTTTTTTTTTAAAAATTCCATAAACATAAGTAACGTAAAATTTGAAAAAAAGAAAAAAAAAAAAGTGGCATGTCTATAATCTAGTAGCACTAATTAAAAATATTGCGATATCCACCAATTACGTCGCGCGAGTACCAGCGATCAATTTAAATTTCTTTGGCGAAATGTGAAAGCCATTAATTTTGCGACTTGGCAAAAGCATGTGTTGGCTTTTGCCAGCATAATCATACGAACCACTCCTCGTAGGATCACCACGTGTCATGTTATATAATATAAGCCGTGGTCTTAAATTCCTTTAATGACCCTGAAATGTATTCTGATTAATTACCAAAAATAATTAATTATCACTTATCTATTACTCCCTCCTATTCATAATAAATGTCGTTTTGAAAAGTTAACAGTAATTAATTTTTTTTTGTCATTAATAACTCTTATTAATAGAGATAAAGATAGATAGTTTTAGAAAAGATGAAGAGTGAATATGAAAAATTATTAGCTAAATGGGGTAATAATGAAAAATTATGTACAAAAGATCCAAAACGTCATTTATTTAGTTAATGGTTAATAAAGTTAAAATGACATTTAAAAAAAATAGGAGGTAATACTATCTAAAGTAATTTTACGAAATTGCAAAGAGTCAAGTACTTATAAAGACTGTGTTTTAGGATAAAATTATAGGAATAATTACACTTTGCCTACCTAACTTTGCTTTTTTGTACACTTTGCAATTTTCGGTCACTGCTGGCCACACGTTGCAATAAGGCACAAAAGCCACGTGTTGGTTTATGAGGCCGACGGTGACCGGAAATGGCAAAGTGTACAAAAAATGCAAAGTTAGGTAGGCTATGTGTAAAAAAATAAAAAAAAAAATTGTAGGCAAAGTATAAATTTTCGGATAGTTAAGTAGGCAAAGTGTAATTTTTATAAAATTATATGTATAGTTTTGAAAAAAAAAAAAACTTCATCAAAAAAGAACTTATCATAAAAAAAAGAATTATATATATATGTGTGTGTGTGAGAGAGAGAGAGAGATAGAATTCTTAAAGAAACACTTACTCTGTGAAGTGGCATACTTGTGTTTATATTAATAAACTGTAAAGTAGCCAATGACCTCTTGGCCTAGTGGTAAGAGTGAGGCACCCTTCACATGAGGTCAAGAGTTCGAGCGCCTCGGAGCGCAATGGTGGAACAATTAATACTGAGGACTAGAAGCGGCAGTGTGGGAGGCTGAAACTCGGTGGGAACCAGCGGCTGGATAGGTGGGGCCAACATGAAGTTGGGGGGGCCAGCGAGCGATCACTTCGGTAGGAACCAGCGGCTGGATAGGTGGGGCCAACTTAGAGCTGGAGGGCCAGCGAGCGATCACTTGGGGATCGACTCCTTGTGCGCGGTAGTTGAGGGTATTAAGTACCTGGGAGCCATTATGTGGCTACCGC